TTCTTTCCTCTTTAGAGATACTTTCTATTATCTCAAATTATGTTTATTTTATTCTTATTTTACATTGATGAACAACAAAGATAAAATACATTATGCATAAAACTGAACGCACTTATTAATGCTCGCTTCCACCAATGTAAATTAATTTTAAAATCTCGGTTCAACTTACTCTTTATTATCTTATTATTTTTTTTTAATTTTTAGAAGTAGAAAAAGACAAAGAGTAAGTGGAACCGAGATTAAAGTTAATTTATTGGTCTATTTTCTGTTCCTGCACTAGATTGTTTTAGAATTCTCTCTCTTTCTCGCTTTAAATAAATATATCTATCTCACTTTAAGTTTACAAAAGTGTACGTTCAGCCACAGAAAACAGACCTTATGTTAGTGGAAATGGGCATACACAAAGTACAGTTGTTGCAAACGCATTCAATTGTCGCGCTGTGATTGGTCCGCCGTTGGCGCCACTTCGATAATTTTAAATTTTCGAGGCAAGCGAGTCAAATAGTTCATTATGCGTCGTGCGACCATGACAGCGCATTCGAGTCGCTCCGTATTTTTCGCGATTGTTACCGATTTAAAATGATTCCTACGTGCGTGGAATTGTCGTGCGATATATTGAACGTTGCGTACGATCATTACTGTGTGTTTATACCGCGTGTGTTTATATTTCCGTATCGATAAGCCTACTCTCAGCGCGACTCGGAATTAAACCGAAATCAGTAACGGATTTTTTAAACTTTAAACTTGTTTGATGTGGAAACTCTTATGATATCGTGACTCCAAACGCGTATTTATTTCGTTCATAACAGAAAATTTAATTCCGGATGCAGTTTATTGCGAATAATACAGTTTAGTGACGCGAATGTGCGACAGTTTCTCAAGTGAGCTCCGTGCGATCGTAACAAAAATTCGAAAAGATCTATGCCGCGATTCGGAATTAATTGAAATTCTCTCGGCCGTTATTTTCTTTGAAAAATAGCAAGATTTGCTCGATATTCATGTGATTTTAATCAGAATTACATATTTTCGATAATATGAAAGTGTCCTCGATCTTGAGAAATGTACTTCGCAAGCGTTAAAACTCTTTGGCCTGAAAACTCTATCAATATTGAAATCCTAGAAGTACATCTATTTCATCTATAACGAAAATATTCACCTACGGATGCAATTTATCATAATTAATACAGTTCGATGACGCGAATGTGTGAAAGTTTCTCAAGTGAACTCTTCGTGCCAAGTTACGAATATGACCAACTCGACAACGATAGTCGACAGATGTCGCGGCGAGTATCTTTATCGCCGTGACAGCTACGCCGGCGGGCCACGTGACCCCCACTAGTCCACCATCTTGCGTGTGTTTGCCGTGGATGGTCGCGGACTTTGTTGTGCGCGTTTCGGCGTGACGCGTGATATGTGTGGACGTAAGGGTGCAGCGAGGTGGAAGGCGTTCGACGACGGTGACGCAACGTGACGACTCAGCTCGGAGGGTGTCCGGCGTGTGCGGTGACGAGCGGCCCGGGAGGGCGGACGGCGATCGACGCTGGGCAACTTCGGTAAGTCGTTGTCTTTTCTAGATTCATGGCTTTATCGCACGTCGCGGTCGTCGCGACACCACGTTGTTCTTCTCGCCGTTGCGACGGACTCCTGGTACGGCTCGCGGCGAGGGCTGTCATGTGTTGCAGCGTTCACTCCTTTAATGGTCGAGCGTGCGGCCGTCTCGTATTTTGTTACCTAACTTTACCTGCTCGCATCAGCTGGGAGCGCGTCCGTGAATTTTACAACTTGGGCGCGTTTACATACAGAAAAATATATGCTGTACGTAAATAATTGTTAATTATTTCAAAAGTATTTCAAAAGTTCATAAGTTCTTTAAAACTATCTATAAATTCATCACAAGCATCAAATATATTCAAAATATATTATGAATCCTTTAATGAGTTTAACTCTTTGCATTCGAATGGCAACCTTCAGTCGCTACTTGGTTTGATGCAGCAACTTGTGTGGCGAGTGAGACAATGACTATGTTTGATCTGGGCGAACTTCAAAGTTTTGATTGCACTATCAACACGGGTAGCCATTGAATGGAGAGTCATGTTTTCTTCTAGGATAAATAATACCATATTAAATGAAATAAATTCAATTTGCTTATTATATAAAGTCTTTGATTAATTTTATGATGTTCTTGAAAAAAATTAATTCTTGTTTGGAGTACATTATGAGTTTTTCTATAAATAAATATATTTTAAAGTTTTTATCAAGAAAGTATTTTTTATTAAAAATAATAAAGTAAATTGAGTAATTACTTTTCTTAGTAACAGAATGATATTTTTCTGTGTGCAGAAACTTCTCCTATATTCTGTTCAACGATAGGTTTAAAATAAAGTATCCTGTATTGTATACATAAATACAATACGTTCAGGCCTAGACTTAGAAAATTGAACAAGTAAAATAATTTTGATATCACACTTTGCGCGCTACGCCTCCTATATGTATGCACAAAGCATATTTTTCGGGACCTGCTTGTAGGTAGAATGAGATAGATTATGCATAAGATAGAATGAAATATCGACGCACCTCATTCTATCTTAAGCAAGTCCTGAAAAATATGGAGAATCAGGAGATTGTCTAAACGGTGTCCAATCTCTTATTTGAGGATCTCTACGTGAAGGGAGAAAATCTCTTGTTGAATATAGAATATAGGTGCACATATGTATCATTTTAATCTTAGACCTGTTTTTTATTCTCGTAACTGGACTGCACTAAAATTTTCTCGTTTTCACTGAATAGGACAAATGTATATCTATCTATAGCACTTTACATTTCAAAAGTGTACACTACAAGAGATCTGTTTTTTACAGTTCATCTACAGAAAACAGATAGACCTCTCGTTTAACGTATTCGTTGAACGACAAGGATAAAATGATACGCAGGTGCACTCGGGTGAAGTTGCTGACCGCAGACCTTGTTGACGTGATGTCATGAAGTGGACGGTCAGCTTCGAGCCGCCGCGAGATCGATCGTGTTTCACAATTCCGTCGACTCCGACATGACGGGATCCTCGCTCGCGGGGAGATTTTTTTTTATCGCGGCGGATAATATATTACAGCCGCTTACGTCAGCGCATGCATGATCGACGATGCTTGCGTGTATGTAAGAAAATAAATGCACGTTTCGTGAAGGTTGCACATGTTACTTCAACGCAGTGGTGTGATCACTCTGTAAGAACTTGGCGTTCGATCGTATACAAATATGTGCATGTCGTAGCGATGGTGTCACTTTCATATTAGATCACCTTTCGCGTATAACGGGTACACATCAAGATTCCTTGTAGCAAGAAGAGATCGAGGATACGTCAGAGGAACAATTGACTAAATATCAGTAATTAGGAATAAGGAATTAGCTTCCAAATAAAGAGAAATCATGTATTCACTGTTTAATTTCTTATTTTCCCCAAGAGAAAAAGGGAAAAATGCTTCTCCATTTTTTTTTTGTAGCTTCTCCAACTTTTTGTGTTTAATTCCTTATTTTTTAAATTCAGTTTCTTATATCCAAATTACCAGCGGAACGATTCTTTTTCTGAAGGATAAATTACAAATCATTCACATAGCCTTCGATAGCTCAGTTGGTAGAGCGGTGGACTGTAGTGTGTGAGTAGAGGTCAGAGAGAGACATCCATAGGTCGCTGGTTCGAATCCGGCTCGAAGGAATTTTTTTTCCCGACTGCGATTTCTTTGCTTTGCATTTTACCGAGCTTCTCTCCACGAATTAGAATCATATATGCCATTAACATATTTTTTTGTTAAAAAATGAAATTGAAAGCACGTTTTAAAAACCGCTTTTTAAAATATTTTTTATATACAGACGATTATAAACAAACAAAAACCTGTTAGTCGTTACTCGTTATTCAGTACATAGAAATTAATACAATGGAACATCACAAGATATTTTTTATACAATTGTGTATTAATATTACCAAACATATTCTACAGCTCGTAAAATTTTGAACTTTGACCTGCTTTCTCTTTTACTGAAACAATTAATGCGATTGACCAATATTAAGCTTGCGAGTACCAAAAAAGACATAAAAAACAGAACGTGTGAAATTTACAATTCCCAAGAAAAATACATACTATACGCAAGTGATAATTATGTGTTTCTAATATTTCCAAAGTTTATCTATTCGCAAATCTGTCATAAATTCATCCCAAGCATCAAATTTATGTAAAATTACATTCTGAATCCTAATAAGATTATTAAATTAAAACAAGTACGATTTGCTTAATTACATAAAGTCACACCTTCGGTTAATTTTGTAATGTTCTTTAAGAGAAAATAAAATTCTTGTTTTGAGTAAATTTTTGTAATAAATAATATTTTAAGATATTGAAGAAAATATTCTTCATTAAAGAGTTAACCGTTACTTAAAAAAAAGGAATTAAATTGAAATGAATAAATAATTACTTCTCTTAGCAATAGAATGATATTTTTCTGCGTATGTGTGTATTGTAAAAATGTCCATTAATGCACATGTATGCCCGCCATCGTAATCTGGTTAGGCGAGATGAGAAATCACGTTGTTATCGTAATTCTGTGTCTGCCGATAGCATAACGATATCGGCGCGATGGCACGAAGAGCATCGTAATCTGAACGGACGAGCTTAAAACGAACGGTGGCGAACGGATGAAACTATGAATATTCGCGATTAAACGGATTAAAGGCCGAAAAATATCCATATTATCGGACATATGGGACGGCCATAAGGCGCAGTCTCGCTCTCGCGATATATATCCGCAGTAATTTATAGCCGCACGCTCTAATCGTCTTTTCCAACTATAATTTATTACTACTCCATCCATATTTATTGGCACTTCGGCCACTGCATTCTGCCGACCATCAGATTGGTTATATTGTTGGCGGTCCGATACACACTGCAATAAATTATCCAGCGCGCGAAGGTGCGACGGCTGACGCGTACTGATAGATTGCGGAGAGAAGAGAAACGATTTATTTAAGCACTGCGGTATTTTACACGGCCCGTAACAATTTTTGATGTATATACATGTATGTATGCTTTGAGATATACAGCTCGTTTCATGAACCGCGAATTAAAGTGGGGAAAAAAGTGTAATAGAGAAACAGGTCTGTTAGCGTTATTTGCCTTTTTGAGAGAAAGAGAGAGAGAGAGAGAGAGAGAGAGAGAGAGAGAGAGAGAGAGAGAGAGAGAGAAAGAATATAGCATCTTCATTTTCTCTCTTTTTAGTGCCCGATATAAGTATACTTGTCTCGTGTTAAGTGCAAACATTTTTAGGGATCTCAAGTAACACGAATAAAGTTAATGTAGGTCTGTGAAGTTGGAATTTCTGCGAATTTTTTTTTCTCAGAATTGATGTGACATTTGATCGTTCACAAACAATATTCATGCATGGAACAAAATTAATTTGAGCAGTGCTCGTGAAAATACGTTTTGATTGATCCGAGACACTCGATATATGTGGCGGATAATTTATTAATGATTTTCAAAAAAATACTTAAAATTTTTTTACGCGAATAGTATAATCTCACTGAAAAAAAAATCTGCTTGGATTAGTTAGAATTCTGGTTGAACAATGAACAAATTAGAATATTTTCTGGTTGAATCTATTTATTAGATCCTCTTTCACCAATTCCAATTAACTCTAATCGATGATTAATTCAATCATTGATCGCTAACTGAGAAACTAAACACAGTTTAGTCTCATAAGAGGAAGAGAGCGGACATGTTCTGATAGATTAAACTGCTGTTGGCACTTCTGCAAGTTGTGTGATCGTCGATTAATTTAACCAGAAATTGGTGAAAGTTAGGTCCTTATAATTCTAGTTGAAATAATCAGAATTCTTATTGATAAGATCAGAATTTTCTTATTCGTCAATTTTTAATTTGAAATTTTTCTCAATGCGTGAAATACAAAGAACGAATAAATCACGCCTCTGCGAAATTGATATTTCCTTCGATCAAATTTCGTTGTAATTAATAGTTCTGGTTCTTTCCCAAAGAATTCTATATAAAGTTTCTGATACGTGTTATTTTCATTTTGTGAATCGAAATTTTTGAAATTCTCATAAACAAAAAAATATTTTTAGAAATTTCTTTCTAAACATATTCTATTCTACAATATATGTGCTCTTGGTTTCTTGTTTCTTGCTTTTTTCTTTTTCTGCGATCGTTTTATCGACAATTGTATTTCTTGTTTCTTTCAAAGTTCGTCAACTTTTATCTCGGGCGACAAAAAATAAAAAAAGGATAAGAAACAAAACGACAAGCTGTAAAAAATAGGAAAAAGGAAGAAACAGGAAATAAAAAGCACATTGTTGAATAGACTTTAGATAGCGCTACAAGAATTCTATCAAAAGTATTATAACTTTTTTCACTCTTACTTGAAATCAAAAAGTTATTACTAATTTTTGTATCGCGGAAACGTGAAATTGGAATAGTTTCAATTATTCTTTTGTATTTAATCATCTTTTCGAAACGTATCAGCAACTCTAGAACTCTTTAAGGAAGAATCAGAACTC